ACGTAAGTAGTCAGAAAGGAAATTTTATCGAGGACACTCCTCATGGTGCAAATTTTGTGAAAATGTTGAAAGGCAGTGAGATGTAGTATGATGCCATTTGTGACCCGTAGTGAGTTGAGGTGGAGTAGGTAAATTTCATTTTCTAATGCGATTTGTAAGGTTGATTATAGAGAACTGGAACACTATTTGACGATAACCCGGTGTTATGCGATCAATAGGGACATTGACGGGGACTGTCCGTGGAGAATGTGACATTCTGCCAGACTGGCACAGCGCAACCTTCTGGCTGAACACGAAAGAACGATTAAAGGCCTTAACGACGAAAAAGTGCTGAAAAGGAGGGTCGAAATATTCTAGAATTTTCTATTTTCAAAATTTCGATTAACGAACGAGTATTTCTCAGAAATACTTAAAAACAGCCATTTTGACCGAAAAATTTGAGAAAAGGAGAACAACACCAAATAGAGTAGAAAACAGTCGCACGAGAACACAATTAAAACGAAGCCTCTTATCGTGACGATCACGCACGATAAGACCCTTAGCGGAAGAAGATAGTGGGAAAGGAGACTTCGGTGGGGAGGTGGTGGAGAGCAGTACCCTCCTGTGCCACGAATTGGGAGTGATAACAACGTTATCTCGAGGAAAACACGGAAGCGGAGGCTCGGTCCCCCAGAGACTGATATATGGTGAAAACTGTAGTAAACTAACTTTTTAGCTACTCTGATGCCATAGAACTTTGAATCGACACCGGTATTATTTGATATTTTAGAGTATGAGTAGCTAGGAAGAGGAAAGGGTCAATCCATCTCCAATGGATTTAACATAGAACTGTCACCAAAAACATATTGAAATAGGATGTTAGCAAACCAGAGCCAATATTTTGCTAACAGGTTACGAAAATTAACGAACGTTCAAGTGGTTTTCACCACAAGAAAACTACAATCATGTTTACCATCACTGAAGTCAGCATTTTCTAATGACCTCAAGTCAAGAGTGGTTTATAAACTGTCATGTAGTGGATGCACTTCCACCTATGTCGGACAAACTGTTCGACATTTGACCACTAGAATTGAGGCACATAGGAAAGCAGACTCACCGGTAGGCCTCCACCTTCAGCAATGCCAACTTGAGGGAAATAGCGCAGATCTTAGTTGGGAAATTATAGATAGGTCAAACAACCAAACAAAATTGCTAACACTAGAGGCAATACATATCAGGAAAGAGAAACCGGGCTTGAACACGCGCGATGAGTTTAGGAGCAGGGAGTTAACACTGAAAATTTAGTCCCAAAATATTTTTGGTTTTTTATTCAAAACGTACATGTCTAAATCGAAATTATGACTCAGAAACTTCCAGACAAATTAATTTTAAAATGTTTAATTAATTTTAGAGGTTAAAAGTATTTTAATCTTAATAGTAATTTAGAGGTCAACTGTGATTGGCTAATTTTTTATCATGATGGTTTAGAACCAAATTGTAGGTGATTTATTGTAAATAACATTTGTAAATTGATGTTTTATCGTCATTTAGAGTAGTTTATTGTAAAAATCCTGACGATGCACATAGTTGCGAAAACGTTTGAAATTTACTTTTTAGCAAAAATTTCTGAAATAGGATGTTCGAGCCGTTTTTTTAATTGCAATCACGTAGTCTGAGGATCCCAGACTCAGCTATGTGGTTGTGTTCGCATGTAAACGAAAGCTGATCAAAAGTCGTTTGACTGATGGCCTAAAAATAGTAACTTTTTACTTAGCCCTAAACAGACCAGAAAATCAACTGGCTAGGTCGAGACGGTGAAAAACGAGTAGAACTCAGGTAACTGACGCCTGCCAGTCGTTAATAGGTAATTTTTCTACGCTCCGTTTTCTAATTTAAAGAAATTCTCAGAGAATTAAAAATGTGATCCAGTTTTTTTAAATTTCAATCCTATTGATCCAGTTTTCCCAAATTGGGTTAATTTTATCAAAAGTAAGTCCATTATAAATTGTTCTAGAAATTCAAAGAGCTTTGATTCAATCTTTAAATTCCAAAATTGAGATGTTTTCAAAAATAGGTCCATATTCCTGTTTACGTTCATTCACTCTTTTCCAACAATACGTTGGCTATGTTCTGACTGTAATTTCCGTGGCTTTTTTTCTGCTAGAATGTTATTGGCTGTGTGGGTGCGGTCGACCCTTATTTGGTTTAATGGTAATTTAAACACGTTTCAGTTTCGCTTATGTTTTAGTTTCTGCCGGAGTTTTGTCCGCCATGTTACCGCTCCTAAAATTGGCTCTTGAAGAAAATTATTAATACGACATAAATCGGAATAACCAAGAAAAGTTGAACTGATTAAGTTTTTGTCCGTTTTTTATGTTAGTGGCGTCTGTCAGATACCTTGCAATGCCAATTTTGTATTTTATTGCTATTTTCGTGAAGCTCAGCTTGCCTTTGTGTCAAAAGTATAATTTATCAAACACAATGAGCGGGTATGTGTAAGTTAGTTTAAAGCGGCTTGTAGAACAGTTCCACGTTCCAACTTTTTTTTTGTAAAAATTTACTGTGATGCCAATTCAAGCAACACGCACATTTTACCCTTTTTGACTTGTCTTTATTATTTTTATATCGATTGTGATGCGAAACTCAGCTTTGCCTCTGTGTTTAAAGGTTGTGTTATAAATAGTTGCTTTGCTTTGAGCTAGTGTTTCATTTTACTTGTTTAAGTTTTTGGTATGGTTGCCGATGCAGCTGTCAAAACTGAAGAGGAACTTCCGCTACCTGAACCTCTGCAGGCGTTCACGCGCGATCAAATTAAGGCCTTGATTGCATATTTTAGCAGCAAGCATGGAGAAAAGTTCTCTTCCAGTGAACTAGGAGAGAAGTATAGAATATTGGAACGGTTTCTGCACTCCTTAGCAGGAGACAACGAGCAATATGACAAGTTCTTGGAAGATTTCAAAATATGGAAAACTAAGCAGGTGTCTGCGAAACCGAATCTGGATGCAACTAATCCAATTGAAAAAGAACCTTCTGTCGAATCAATCTTAAAACTAACACAAGTTAATGAAACGTGGTCTGTTGGTGGTTATCATAGTGCCAATACCAAATCGAGTAAAGAGATGACGCAACTTTTTGATGGTGACCGGAAGTCGAGGTCGTTCAAAACTATGAAAGACATGAAAGATACTGAGCTCGTTTCTAAAGATGTTTTACAATTGCTGTTCTCGGGAATGTTCGACCCTGTATTGGGTAAAGCTGCGAGGCCGAAAAGATTGATGCTAAAAAGTCCTGAGTTGGCTGAAGTTTTAAGAGAAAAACTGTGTAGTTATGAAATTGAGATAGTTCATAATCTTCAAGCGAACCAGAATGTTGAGGCGGTACCACTTGCTGAGCGATTTTCGTGCTATAGCTGTGGGTTGACAGAGGCAAAATATAAATTAAAGAAGTGTTCTGGCTGTCACTCAGTGTTTTACTGCTCGACCGATTGTTTCAAAAGAGACTGGAAAAAGAAACCTGTTGAAGCTAGCCATAAAACATGGTGCCCACAATTCAAAGATTATCAGGAGACGTTGCAGCCAAAGTTTCTTCAACTTTTCCCTTTCTCATATGCAGAGGAAACCACGAAAGAGCAATTTGCAATAACCGAATTCTTGCAACGAAAAAAATTGTTGGGGCTAGGTTATTGGCAAATGCTTATTGCAGCCTGCAAAAATTGTGACAACAATAATTGTGCAAACGACGATCACATGGCATATCCGCGGAAGACATCAGAAATCAACGATGATGATGTAGAAACGCCTTTTATTTATAAAAGTTTGACCAAGCTAGAAATCTTAGAGCGTTGCAACAATGCTGAGCAGTTCAGAAACTGGACCGAGTTTTACGAAGCAAGAAATATAGATTTAAGTAACCCTGCAGCTGCTGTTTTAAGCACGTCTTTGACGATAAGGTATATCTGTCGAGTGTCCTACCCAACCTTAGTGAACGATACTTCCAACACCTTGCACATCGTAATTCTCGAATCCGAGTTTAATCCAAAAAATGCCGGTCTGTTCAAGCAGCTTCTTTTCAAAGAAACTGATATGCACATTAAGTTAACAATCTATCAATCAAAATTTAACGGCTTCAAAATGGATTATAAAACAAATGGTGGTTCGTGTACTTTAACAGTAGATATTAAACAGGCCAATTTCCCGATTCAGTCAGTTAAAAGCCCCGAAAAACCAGATGTTGTTATTGGTTTCAACTGTTTTGACATGGTACAGAAACCAGAAGATGCTATGAAAGTAGTGAAAGCAGTAGTAAATGAATCAATTCCGCTCTATTTTGTCAATTTCTGTCCGATGTTTACCTCAATGCAACAAGGATGGCTGAAACAAGTGTTCGAACATGAGCAGATAGATGATATCAGAATATCGATGCCAGCTGTGAACCCATTTGCCTCCCCATTGAGACTGAAAAACTCTTCCTTCACGTTTCCGTGGTATCACAATGGCTTATTTTACAGCGTGCTGAAAGACTGAATTATATGCTAAACGGCTATTGTAAACTTAAGACATTATTACGATAATGTTGATAGCTGTTGCAGCCCCTATTTTCTACTTGCACGGTGTGACAATTCAGAGATCTAACGAATGAGTGCCTCACTGCAATGAACCAGCCTTGCCTGATGATTACACTTACTAACAAGTTTTTGTGAAAACACTTCAGATAGCATGTGTCTGAATGAGAAATTTCGGAAGAGAAACGTCTGGTTTCAAAATGGCCTCTTTGACTTCTAGAAGTCATCAGGAAATCCGAAAGTCTGATAGTTTTTGATCTATCTCATAAATTTATAGTGGAGTTCAAAATGTTTTAAATTGTTTCCTACACTAATCGAATTCAAATCTTCAATGCTTATTTTTTCTTACTTGAAGCTCGTACGCGCTTGGCAGTATTTGACTGATATCTCTCGAATCAACTTGAGACATCAAAGATAATTAATCTACCTGAATTTAACTCAAACGTTTGTCCAACCTTTCAGATAGGAACGTGTTCCGTCAAATATACTTCAAACAGACATAAACAATGGGCCCTAAATTTGATCCGACTGCTATCGCATATGGTAAGTATAGTGGTAGGGGCTGGCATCCCATCCACCATGAGCTCGTTTTTCAGTACATGAAATTCAGACTTGTACAACTTGCTGCCAATTATAAATATTGAATTAAATTAAAGATAAATTATCACGTGAAAATGAATGAGACAATTAACCAGGTCAAATGTTTTGCAAAAAAAGAATCTCGAGACGTCTCATTTTAAAAACGGTGTCAAATGTTTAGTGTTTGTGAGATGCTACGGAGGTGAAGCTCCGGCTACTGCTTCATTGGCTCCCAAGATTGGTCCTTTGGGTCTGTCGCCCAAGAAAGTAGCCGATGACATCGTGAAAGCCACGGCCAAAGACTACAAGGGTATCCGTGTGACATGCAGACTAACGATCCAGAACCGACAAGCGAGAGTAGATGTCATACCCAGTGCTTCATCACTCATCATCAAAGCCTTAAAAGAGCCTATAAGAGATAGGAAAAAAGTCAAGAATATCAAACACAGCGGAAACTTGACTCTTCAGACGATCATTGAGCTGGCCAGGACTATGCGAGCCCATGACAGATCAAGATCAATCGAGCTGTCGGGAACTGTAAGGGAACTCTTGGGAACTTGTCAAAGCGTAGGTTGCCTTGTGGAAAAGGAGCCTCCTCACGACATCATTGAGAAGATCAAAGATGGAGAAATTGAAATCCCTGCTGAATAAACTGCCTGGATTTTAAGGTTTTGAGTTAAGTGACTCACTAAATTTGGATATTGCTAATTTAGTGAAAATTTAATTTTTGAAACCAATTTTTCAGCTGGCCGTAGCATTTACAATTGCGATTAGCGTTATTAAATTGGAACATAGACTTGTTTGATCGGTAATGCAATTTTCTCCAATATTTCTGCCCAAAAGTTTGGTTGACTTTTAGTTCGCTAGGTATTCGTTTTAACTCAAACGACTTTTTGTTCAAGCCATTTGAAAAAAGGGGAGAGATTTTGTATTCAGGTGTGTTTTAGTTGTTATTTAAGATGATGAACGTAGTGAGTACTCATATAGGTCTTGCTGATTTTTTTTGTTTTGTTTTTCGGAAAAAGTCTTGAAATTTGTTCACGCTCTTTGACCTGTGGTTTTTTTAAAGTTAAGTGCATTTCTATTGTTTAAAAGAAGGTAAATTATACTATCGAACAGCAAAATTGTAAAGGTCACGAAAAACGTGATGGACTTCTAATTTCGAAATTTGAAATTATCAGATTTCCCAGCGACATATAAGTTTTACCTATTGATCAAGTTTCCTCAAATTGGGTTAGTTTTAACATAAAAGTGTCCATCATAAATTGCTCTACAAATTCAAAGAGTTTTAAGGTCTTCGAAATTTAAAAGTTGAAAATTTTTGTAAAGACAAGTTCTTTTTTTTGAGTTTCCTTGCATCCATTTCTCTTTTCCAACTGTCAGTTGGCTATGTTTTTTTTCCACGCATAACCAGCTACCGCAAATAATCATCGGAGAGAGTTGAGCGATATATCATATTGAAGCCCTTACAGTCGTGATTTGATTAAAACTTTGTTCAAATCTTTGAAAAAAAACTTTTATAATATATTTTATAAGACTGTGGTCAGATTATTCTGTGCTACTTGCAAAGTAACCTGCTATCCTTGTTTACCTATTTTTTATTGAGATCGACATGTTTTTCACCATAATTTCAAATGCTCATAATAAACCCCCCAAGAAGCATCTTTAAAAGATATAAATCATTCAAAAAAACTTACCTTTTTACGAGACATGATTTTTGTTATTTTTTCAAACATTTAAAAAATTAAGATTTTTAAGTTTTTTCAAAATTTGATTCTACAATCATTTAGTTGGTTGATGTCAGGGTAGTCTTAAGCATTGCGAAGCTTGCTTCCAAATTTGACTACTCAAATCTCTTCAGCTTCCAAGATATGACGTTTTTTAATGATTTTTAAAAGGTTTCACAAAACAGGTTTAATAAGATTTTGAAAGTCGCAACCCTATTAGAGAGTGCAGTCAGGGTGTTTCCAATGTTTGCAAATCGTGCCTTTAATTTTGAGTGCTCAAATCTTGTAAGTTTCCGAGATATGCTGTTTTATAATTTATCAAAAATTTTCAAGAAATTGGGTTTGGAAAATTTTAAATTTTGAAATTGACAACTGAATGGTGGGTTGCTTTCTAAATACTTAGGAGGGTTATATCTTGGCTTCAAGTTTGACTGCTCAGCACTTTTTAATTTTCGATATATGGAGTTTTGATGATTTTCAAAATTTTCCAAAAACGTAGATAAAAAAAATGTTGCGTGAAACTGTCTACCTTTTGGTGCGATGATGTCAGGATACTCCCATCATTTGCAGATATAGCAACTAAAAGGGTGATTGCGCAAAATTTTAACTCTATAGCTGCGTGATGCACAAGGGTTGGAGATTTGGCGTCCAGAATTCACCGCTCAGATCCTTTCAGTCTCCAAAATTTCACGTTTTTTTTTCACTCAATTTTCAATAACTAAGAAAATGTTGCAAGAGTCTTTAAGGGGTTCGCAATCGGGTAGTAAACATTTTTTTCGTGAGAAACTTTATTTATAGAATGGTTAGAATTGGAAATGTTAGAGTTAGGTTCATCTCATAATGAGTTGAAATTTATTTGCGTCCCGGGAAAACTGGGTTTGACATCAACGAATACGCCTCGGAAGGCAAAAGTCCTGGGTTCGATTCTGACAGGGCCTTTTTTTTTAAAAAAACATTTCAAATAATTGTCTTCAGTTGACGGGCAAATAAAATTTTAAGTTTGTTTTTAGGGTGGGTACTTAACTTTTTATAGGTCTTAAGTCGTTATGTTTTTTTTAGCTCAAAATTTTCTGCTAAGGTATTTTCGGCTTTGTTACTGCTTGGTAAAGTTTCTTTCGATGCTAATTTTCTATTTTATTTTGTCTTGGCTTAAATTTGTTTCAAAACTAGCCTTATTTGTTGTGATTTATCTTTTTTTTTATTCGATTTTTTTTTCGACTTAGCGGCGTTCTTCTTCTTTAACGCAAGTTGTGCGAAACGCAGCTTTGCTTCTGTGGGTGAAAAATCTTTTTTGCTTAATAAGCTTGATTGTACGAATGATGGCAATACTTTTTATTTACTAGTTACGCTTGCGATTAACAAGCGTTAAAAATAATTATTCAAGTTAACTAATTGGTGAAATTAATGATATTACAAATGAAACTTTTTTTGAAAGCTTTTTGAATATGAAAAGCTGAGTTGTATCCTGTCGACCGGAGTTGTATCGGGTTTTATTTCTGAGATAATGCAAAGATCTGAAACCAGTAGTTTAAAGATATGTCCATTGTACTTCAAGAAACGTTGAAACATTTTTTTTCTAATGTTCAGCTTTAGACACAAAAAGCGTTTTTAAATGCCCCTTTTATTCTTACGGTTGAATTTAGGTTCGGTGTATTTTCTTATAATTTTAAAAAGGCAATTTTCACATTCATTAATATGTTCAACGTGCCCTTTTATACATGTTTAATCAAAAACGTATCATGCCATGTTTAAACTATCTTCTCATTTTTGTCTGTTACTAAACAATTTTCAATAAATAATATATCAGAAGCAAGCTTATTGGAGCAGCAGAAAGGTTTTTGCTCATCTTTCTTCATTTTATTACTTCGAATCTCAAACTTATGCAAGTCACAAAATGTTGAATACTTTAATATCATTTTGAGACTACAAGTCTCACGCTATCCAGTCTACCGAGGGCACCCACTTTTGAATGCATGTCAGCTTTTTTAAAACTTGAAACGATAGAGCACCAAAATGCCCAGCTATTAAAACAAAATTGACGATGGATTTGCACTGTTCAGAAAATCAGAGTTATTTTAATGTTGAAAATTTGAAATCAATTCGGAAAAGTAGAGTAGAAGAGAGCTCATTCGATAATTCTTTTCATTCACCTTACTTGTTAATCAATTTTCCTTTTTATTAGTATGTTTTAGTATATCTGTATCAAGATCCCATGAGATATTCCCATGTAAAATTGAACGCAGTGATTTTTTGGGAAACGTTTTTGTCAACGCGAAGTTTTGATTTTTCGCGTTTTGAAGTTTGATTTCTTTTGAAGTTGAGTTCCTTTTCTTTGCTAAGAAGGCAAACCCCCCTAGCAAACCACAATCGACTTCAAGTTTCGAAAGTGAGTTTCAATGATCAGGCGATGCAAAAGTCTGTTCTCAAGGCTTGTTTTTGTACTATTTTCTAGAATAAAATTATTTCAACTGTAAGCGAACTATTGTTTCGCCTCTGTCATATAATTGGATATTGAATGCCAACTGCATTCGTACTCAAGTCAAAGATTAGGGAAAAAATTAATTATTCAGCTTGTTGATGCTTCATTTTGCTAGTGGACGTGCGTCTAATGATTGTTGTCATCGAAGGAAGTGCCTTCAATCGGTTGCTAATCTCAAGTGACAGAATGCTGGAAAATCGTTTACCAATCAAAACAAGTAGACGTCAAACGAAATCGATATTATAAGAGAATGAATTATAGCATGTAAGTAATATATTCCGTTTAGATATAATAAATTTGCGTTTGTTTTCCCAATTTTCAGAAATTGGTTATTTAATGCGTCTTCGATATAGCAATATTTGAAAAATCCAATTTTGGAATTGGTCAATATTAATTTCGATGGTCTGAAAATACTGGCTTATTTTGAGTTTTTCATATTCAAGTCTGATTTGCCAAATTGGCTTTTTCCAACATTCGGTCTCTCCATTATTAGGGCTGCTATGAGCTTCACTAACCTGGACACATTGTAACTAACTAGAGACACATTGTAAAACTAGTAAAAATGGCGCATTGGCAATTAGCGACTGCTTGATCTGCAGCGCTGACATTTGGTGCAAGAGGCATTGTGCACGTAAATCAGTGCTTGCCGGGTTGCTGCCGACTTCCTAGATTTGTTTGTTACTTTACCAAGTTCTAGAATAATTTTTAGTACACTTGCGAAAGCAAGTGTCTTGTAATTGGTAATTAGTCTTTTTTCCCGTGAATAATTTTCCTTACAAAGCTTACTTGCTTTTCTTACATGCTTTATTTTTGAAGCGGAAGGTCATAGATTCGAACATTGGACATACCATATTTTTTTGCAGTTTGTAGGCAGCTGAAACATTTTTTTTACGTTTAAAATTGATTTGTCGTACTTTCGTTTGTCTGCTTAAGATTTGTATTAATTGCAATTGTTTGTCAATGTAATTCCAGTTTTCTCAGTTTTCCTGTTTGATAAAAACTGGCAATCTGAAAATCTACGAGATTGCTCTTTCTTATTTTTTTTAAACGCTTTGGATTTTTTGTTTAGTTTCTCGAAAATTGTTCCACATATTTTCAAAAAAAAAGATTATCAATAGAAAGCCGTCTGCTCCCCTGTGTGCTGGCATACTCTCCCAGTCTGTTTTTACTTTACCCCTCTCTCTACAGCTTTCGAAAAAGATGTGGGGGAAGATTTGACCCATATTTGTGTTTTTTTGGTTTTATCTTAGTCTTAATTTTGATCTTATGAATAGAATGGGTTTTGTAGAGTTCCTCTGCATAATTGGCTTCGCCCTATTTTTTCATCAGAAATTAATGCCCTGCAAGTATTTAAATGTTTGATCTTTTGACCTTTTTTTTAAAAAAAATTTTGGCTTTTATTGAAAAACCACCTCCTAAATCAGAGTGTTTAGATTCAATCGAAAATACAGGTTGCGTGAACTTCTTCTGCACAAGCGGTTACTACCATTTTTTTGCCTAAAAAGCTTTGATTCTCGGAAATGTCAACCTT